GTTTCCCTGGCCTTCCTTTGGCATTTGATTCCTGGAGCACTGGAGAGTACATAGTGGTACCCGACCCCATTCCCAGGTTGCTGAGGTGTTTGCTACCTATGAGAATCATCATGCAATTCTGAGTGCTAGTATTAATGCCGCTCTACCATTTGGTGAACTGGCGAGCACCAGCAACCTAGTACATCCTGGTCTTTCACATACCAGCACTTCAGTATCACTTGGTGACGTGGCGAGTCCCATAAGTGCAGTACAAGCTAGTGCAGTGGCGAGCACAAGTATTTTCCAGCAGCCACTACGAATTCACACACATGCCTGTAGAGCCCATAGTGTCCTTCTGGATGTGCTTGCAGCCCACAAATTATCAAGCACCCGTACTTCCCTATTCTCTGCCCAACCCAGTTTCTGTTTCAGGTGGAAACAGAAAATTTAACTACTCCACTTGATTTTTTGGAGCTGTTTTTCATGGAAATTCTGTATGGATTGATTGTGGACTAAGGCAATTTATACGCAGTTTATTGCTGCCAACCCATATCCAAACCTTGTCAGACCATGTGCATGGAAACTTTTACGGTTTCTGAATTTACAGGTTTTTTGGGCCTAACCCTCAAGATGGGCATTACTAAAAAGAGTTGCGGATGTATTGGTCCACAGACCCGATTCATCATATGCCCGTGTTCTCTGCTGCCATGGCCAGGCAAAAAAATCAAATACTGGTGAAGCGCTTCCAATATGACATAACAAATCAAATATCATTTGATAATAACCTCATACCATAACCCTTTATCATAAACAGATCCCCCTCAGTATTCAGTATCCTTTTGTGAATGTGCAATATATATATATATATATATATATATATATATATATATATATATATATATATATATACACACACCCGTAGAGCTCTTAAAGCATAAAACAAAACAAAACAAAAATGTATAGTCCAGTGTGAGAGTCCCATACACCACCCAAATTTTGTGCAATCTCTGATATGTTAACCTGAGGATTTACCCCCCTTCCTGACCAGGCTATTTTTTGCTTTACAGCGCTGCGTTACTTTAACTGACAATTGCGCGGTCATGCAATGCTGCACCCAAATAAAATGACATCCTTTTTTTCCAACTAATTGAGCTTTCTTTCGGTGATATTTGATCGCCTGTGCATTTTATATTTTTTGCGCTATAAAAAAAAAAAGACCGACAATTTTGAGTAAAAACAATATTTTTGAGTTTTTGCTATTAAACATACCCAGTAAAAAAAAAATTAAAAATCTAATTTCGGCATATATTTAGGCCAAAATATATTCTGCTACATGTCTGCTAAAAAAAATCCCAATACATTTAAATTAATTATTTACATGAAAGTTATAGCGTTTACAAATGGCAGTATAGATACTGGAATTTTTTTAATTTTCTTTTACTAGCAATGGCGGTGATCAGCAACTTATAGTGGGACTTTGCGGGCATTCTGACACTGGGGGGAACTGACTTGGTGTCACTGACATCCCCAGTGACACCAATAAAGTGATCAATGCTAAAAAAAGCACTGACACTGTACTAATGGCACTGGGCAGGAAGGGGTTAACATGAGGGTTTAACAAAACAGTTCTCCTCCCCATCAGAGATCATCAGAAATAAGTAATGAGTGATTGACAGCCGCGGCCACGAATGGCAGTGCGGGTAGAGTGCATATACGGCTCGCGCGCGCCCCCTATCCGGAAATGCAACCCCCTGTGCTGCCCTGTAGCAGTATTTCTGCTATAGGGTAGACGGGAAGCGGTTAAATTCTTGTTAGAACAACAATATGACTTCCTTCAGCATGAACAAACACCACCGTGCCCTTCACCACACCTCATGGGTATCTCCTCACCTTATATTATGGACCCCACTGCAAAAGGAGGGTCAATTGCGCTTTTACATTACAAACTACGATCTTGTTCAGCATTCACCTGGTCATTACGGATCTCCCAGGAATAGATATATTAAAAGGAAGCAAACATCCAATAGTGCAAACTGCTAGTTTATTTCCATAAAAAAGTACAAATTTCACTCACATGTTAAAAAGTTCATAGAGGCATGTCACAGGCTTTTAGACTTTCCAAAATGGCATCTAAGCTTCACCCAGTGTGATGAGGTCACTGCCAGTCTGACGCGTTGCGCCCCCGTCAGCTTTCTCAAAGGCTCAGGCTAGTCAACACCACCGCCCTCTTATATATCTACTGCATCCTGATCATGGAGAGGCATAGATATGAGAATTTTATGAGATTTTTGCATTTCAACGACAGTACACTCTGTCGTCCTCGGGGTGACCTTGACTATGATAGGCTCCACAAAATTTGGCCCCTCGTAAATCACCTTGACCAGTAATTTGCAGATGTATATACACTCCAGAAAAATATCTGCGCTGATGAGTCCCTCATTCATTTTTCTAGATGCCTTGTATTCAAACAGTTTCTCCCCAGCAAGCGTGCCAGATCTGGGGTCAAAATGTATAGGACCTATACAGGCTATAGATGTAATTGTTGGATTTACGAGGGATAAGCTAGTCACATGGAGCCCTCCCCACGGATGCCCAGACTACATGGGGAACAGTGGCAAGATAGTTTGGGACTTGGTCTCACCCTTTTTCCATATGGGGTACCACTTATATGTGGACATTTTTCATACAAATGTGCCACTATTTAGACATTTATACAATCATTGGCACATGTGACACTGTGCGACCTAATCACCGGGGCTTCCCTCAACGGCTTGTATATACCCGACTTTGAATGGGGGAGAAAGCCTGCTTGAAAATTGATGAATTGCTCGCAGTGAAGTGGAAGGACAAATGGGATATTTTCATCCTGTCTTTCACTCACACAGACACAACCATCCAAATTTCCACGGCAGCTGGTGTTGTTGAGAAGCCCCTCTGTGTCCATGACTATAAACTGAACATGGGAGGAGTGTACTTCTAGACCAGATTATAAAGCCGTACTTAGTTTCGCGTAAAGCCAGATGTTGGTCCAAAAAGGTCTGTTTATTTTAATTGGCTCTGTACAACGCTTTTGTGCTTTACAAAGCAACTGGATGAAGTGGATACTTCCTAAAATTTCTGAAAGAAATCATCACAGTCCTTTTGTATCCAGAAGGTGCTGTGGCCCAAACCCCCAACCCAGATGCAGTGAGCTGGCTGCATGAGAGGAATTTCCTGAAGCCATTCCTGGTACCCAAACCCAAAATTCACCCCCAAAAAGATGTTGTGTCTGTAGCAGACATAGAATTAGGCGTGACACCCACTTTTTGTGTCCCTCCTTTCCTGGCCAACCTTGTCTCTGCCTCAAGGACTGCTTCTGTCGCTACCACACACTAGTGGAGTATTAGTATAGGATACAGCATGGCACATTCTAGGGCACATATTTACACAGGGTCTCGAAAGATGTTAGGTAGTCAGGAAAATGACTATTGCATTTTGAGAGAAAGTTTACAAAAAAAGTTAAAAAAAAAAAAAAAAAAAAGTAAAAAAATAAATAATAATAATAATAAAAATAAATAAAAATAATTGTTTTGAGTTACTGTTCTATTGTTACTGTTATATTGTTAACCATTGTTGTTTTCATGCAGGAATGCTATTCAGCTGCAGCACTGATCTGTTTATTCTGATAGCAACAGGGTGTGCTCTTAGAATATACATCAGTTTGTGCAGCACTGTTGGATGAGGTTTTTCATCAGCAGTTCAAAAAGAATATACACTATATTGCCAAAAGTATTGGGACACCCCACAAATCATTGGATTCAGGTGTTCCAATCACCTCCATGGCCACAGGTGTATAAAATCAAGCACCTAGGCATGCAGACTGCTTCTACAAATTTTTGTGAAAGAATAGGTCGCTCTCAGGAGCTCAGTGAATTCAAGCGTGGTACTGTGATAGGTTGCCGCCTGTGTAATAAGTCCATCCGTGAAATTTCCTTGTTACTAAATATTCCATGGTCAACTGTTAGTGGTATTATAACAAAGTGGAAGCAACTGGGAACAACAGCAGCAACTCAGCCACGAAGTGGTAGGCCACGTAAAATGACAGAGCGGGGTCAGCACATGCTGAAGCGCATAGTGCACAAAAGTCACCACCTGTCTGCAGAGTAAGTAGCTAAAGACCGAACTTCAATCTTCATGTGGCCTTCAGATTAGCACAACAGTGCGTAGAGAGCTTCATGGAATGGGATTCCATGAAGCAGCTCCATCCAAACCTTACTTCACCAAGTGCAATGCTAATCGTCAGATGCAGTGGTGTAAAGCATGCCACCACTGGAATCTAGAGCAGTGGCGACGTGTTCTTTAGAGTGGTGAATTACACTTCTCTGTCTGGCAATTCTCCATTCAGCTTCAGCACTGATCTGTTTATTATGATAGCAACAGGGTGTGCTCTCAGTATACATGTCAGTATGTACAGTGCTGCTGGATAAGATTTTTCATTCACAGCTGAAAAAAGAGCATTCACTATACTGCCAAAAGTTTTGGGATGCCTAACTTACATGCACATGAACTTTAATGACATCCCAGCCTTAGGGTTCAATATTGAGTTGGCCCACCCTTTGCAGCTATAACAACTTGAAGTCTTCTGGGAAGGCTGTTCACAAGGTTTAGGAGTGTCTATGGGAAATGTTTGACCATTCTTCCAGAAGAGCATTTGTGAGGTCAGGCACTGATATAGGACGAGAAGGCCAGGCTCGCAGCCTCTGCTCTAATTCATCCCAAACGTGTTCTATTGGGCTGAGTGCAGGCCAGTCAAATTCCTCCACCCCAAACTTGCTCATCCATGTCTTTATGGACCTTGCTTTGTGCACTGGTGCGCAGTCATGTTGGAACAGGAAGGGGCTATCCCACTAAGTTGGGAGCATGAAATTGTCCAAAATGTCTTGATATGCTGACACCTTAAGAGTTCCCTTCACTGGAACTAAGGAGCCAAGCCAAACCCCTGAAAAACAACCCCACACCATAATCCCTTCTCACCAAACTTTACACTTGGTACAGTGCAGTCAGAGAAGTACCGCTCTCCTGGCAACCACCAAACCCAGACATGTCCATCGGATTGCCAGACAGAGAAGTGTGATAAGCCACTCCAGAGAACACGTTTCTACTGCTCTAGAGCTGCTCTAGAGTCCAGTGGCAGCGTGCTTTACACCACTGCATCCGACACTTTGCATTGCACTTAGTGATGTAAGGCTTGGATGCAGTCGCTTGGCCATGGAAACCCATTCCATAATTTGAAGGCCACAAGAAGTTTGGAGGTCTTTAGCTATTGACTCTGCAGACAGTTATCAACTTCTGCGCACTGTGCGCTTCAGCATGCGCTGACCCCGCTCTGTCATTTTACGTGGTTTACCACTTAGTTTTGACTTATTGAACAGGTGGCAACCTATCACAGTACCATGCTTGAATTCACTGAGCTCCTGAGAGCGACCCATTCTTTCACAAATGTTTGTAGAAGCAGTCTGCATGCCTAGGTGCTTGATTTTATACACTTGTGGCCATGGAAGTGATTGGAACATCTGAATCCAATGATTTGGATGGGTGTCCCAATACTTTTGGCAATATAGTGTTTTATGCCCAAGCATGGGGACCTGGGTTGGCCAGTGGGTGGATCGCTCCTATGCTTTGGCATATTTTTTTCCATTTTTTTGGCACACAGATTTCAATTAAAAAAGTTGTTTTATTGAGTTGCTGTACTATTGTTACTGTTTTTTTGGTAACCATTGTTGTTTTTTTCCTCGCTCCTATGCTTCCGCATACATTTTTGTTATTTTTTTTTGGGCAGAGATTTCTTCATCCACATCAATGTTCTTTTTTTTGTTCAGCCCAGGCAAGAACATTTCAAGGAAGCCCAACATTAGAAGTGGGTGGGTGCAGGGCGGTATATTCTAATACCACACACTTTTTCTGGCAGAGATTTCTTCTCTTTTTTTCCTTCAGCCCACAGGCTGCATAAAAAGAACATGACATGCCCAACAAGGACCAGCGATGTACTGGAACATCACTGGACTTTGAGTGGTAATGCCAGGATGATGAATGCAGCTTTCTTCTTTTCAGCAGTCAACTTGCATGTAAAAGCAATCCTAGCAACTAATTAGCCTCAGGATTGCTTTTACAAGCAGTGGGAGGAGATGCCCCCCCCCCCCGGAGGCCCATGGCATGTGTGAGCAATATATAATTTAAGTGACAACTTTGTGTAAAAAAAATAAACATTTCTTTATTTTTTACCACAAGTTTTTGGAAAATGACAAAGTATTCTATTGACTCAAGATGCCTCTCAGCAAATATAGTGGATATAAAAAAAGTCCACACACCCCTGTTAAAATGTCAGGTTTCTGTGATGTAAAACAATGAGACAAAGATAAATCATTTCAGAACGTTTTCCACCTTTAATACAACTTAGTTCGACAACAACTGGAGTGTGGAGGGAAGTAAGAATAAAAAAAACTAAAATAATATGGTTGCATAAGTGTGCACACCCTTAAATTAATACTTTGTTGAAGCACCTTTTGATTTTATTACAGCACTCAGTCTTTTTGAGTATGAATCTATCAGTATGGCACATCTTGACTTGGCAATATTTGCCCACTCTTCCTTGCAAAAACACACTCCAAATCTGTCAGATTGTGAGGGCAACTCCTGTGCACAGCCCTCTTGAGATCACCCCACATATTTTCGATCGGATTCAGGTCTGGGCTCTGGCTGGGCCATTCCAAAACTTTAATCTTCTTCTGGTGAAGCCATTCCTTTGTTGATCTGGATGTATGCTTTGGGTTGTTGTCATGCTGAAAGATGAAGTTCCTCTTCATGTTCAGCTTTCTAGCAGAAGCCTGAAGGTTTTGTGCCAATATTGACAGGTATTATTATTAGTATTACTATACAGGAGTTATATAGCGCCAACAGTTTGCTCAGCACTTTACAAAATAAAGGGAGACAATACAGTGCAATACAAGAGGGTTAGAAGGGCCCTGCTCCTTGGAGCTTACAATCTAAGAGGAAGGGGCTGGTGGTACAAAAGGTAATAACTGTGAGGGATGGACTGGTAGAAAGAAAAGAAGATTCCATTATTAGCTGAAGGCAGGATAGGCTTACCTGAAGAGATCGCCTAAAAGTGGACAGAGAAGGCGATAGTCTGATAGATTGGTGTAGAGAATTCCAGAGGATGGGGGAGGCTCTGGAGAAGTCCTGGAGACGAGCATGGGAGGAGGAGGCAAGGTAGCTGGAGGTCATGGGAGGAGCGGAGAGGACGGTTTAGGGGATATTTGGAACTGTTCATAATGAGGAAATATTGTTTTTTTTTTCAAAATTGTTGTAATCTCCATCTATATAAGGTGACTTTGGAAGATAATTGGTTGCACCAGTGATTATTTATGTGTTTCATATTAAAGTCAAACAGGGAATTAGACAATGCGTTATGGTAAAAAATGTTTTATCTTTAGAACTACTTTGTTTGGTAAGAGTTGTGTATTTGCTCAATCAGGCGACAGATCTTATATGTATATATTTATACCGACATATGCTTATTCTCATTCTTACTGTGATATGTTTTAAAAAAAAAAATAAACATACAGTCCTAACAGGGAACGGCCTTATTCTTTCTAAAATTCTGACAGAGAGTTCAGATTTGAATGCTCCAGAAAATAGCATTTCTCTCCCCTACCCCTCAATTGTTAAAGACGGCCAGCTGTTCCCCACGAACAAACCACAGGAAGCCCTCCGGGTGTATCAGGAGGAATGGAAAGGCTGCTAATCTACCCTCTTTATTCGAGGATTCCTTCACTTGCAGAGTTGTCAAGGGCAGAGGAGAGAAACGGTATCCACCAATCCCCTATGGGGCATGCGCAAGACTGCATAGGAATTTTTGCTTTAAATGGCATGTACGATCAGTTTTCAAACAGGAGGTAAATTTAAGGGATTTTTATCACTGTATGCAATCAGTTGTTTTGTGATTCAATGTTCTATAACAAGTGTGATGGTTTGAGGATTTTCGAGCAATTGTAGTGCTTATCAGTGAGTTCAGTCCACTCCAAAAAGTGTTGTTTAAAGGCTTGTAGGCCCACATTTACTAATAAAATAAAAATGTTCTCACAGAGAATCAGTTTCCCACACAGAGGTTTTCATTATCAGCATGAACATGAATTACTTCAGCCTTGTGTCTCTCGTGCCACTGCTCATGCCTATTGCTTTAGTCCTCTAGATCAGTGTTTCTCAAACTTTTTTTCAGTCAATGCACCCTTTACAATTATGAATAGTCTTGAGGCACCCTTTAAAATTTATGGACACTCATGAGGCACCCCATTTTAAAATGGGGTGCCTCTAGACTGTCCATAATTTTAAAAGGGCACCCCATTCTAAAATGTGAAAACCTATTCTAATATTTTTATATAACACAGCAACATCCACACATGTAGGACACCCAACATTAGAGGTGATTTATTCTTCCAAAGCAAATACACTTTTGCACCCTGGTTTCTCACAGGGTTTCTCTTCTATCCCAGTTTTTCTCCATCACTGAGCTAATGTGATCCCAGCACTGATGAAAATGGTCAAACTAGGATGCTGTGCAGGCAGTTGACATCCTCATTATCAACTAATGATGTCATTGGTTGTTAGGACGCCAGTGGCTAGAAGGTCGTAATGGTGCACAATGAAAACCTGTGGCTTTGTGTAACTAAAAGGCAGGCTTGTTCCACCCGCTGGATTGGAAAATTTTTAGACATTTTGCCAAGGCACCCCTGAAGAAACCTCAAGGCACCCCAGGGTGCCTGGGCACCCTGGTCTAGATCATCAAACACAGCACCTCAGTGCTCCTGTACCTGAGCTCTCTGTCAGTTCCTTGCTGCTCTGTCACCAGTTGTACTGTTCACACATATATGCTCTGTCTGCCCTATGCAGACTCTCTGACCTCTGGGGAAGGATTGGAGCATTCCTGAAACCTACCTCCTGTATCTTGGGTGGAGCCATGAACTGTTAGGTCCTAGATTATAAAGTCTGTGAACACCTGCACACCTAGCTTGCTAGTTACTGGCAAGACCTGGACACTGTGACTCTTTTCACAGTGGCAGGACCTCACACTGCTACACAATAAAGACAATTTTAAGAGGTGAATACCTTGATGCAGTAAATGGATCTGATTTGATAAGAACTGATACATATCCACCTAATTCTTCACAACAGAGATGGGTACAGAAGAAATATGGAGGTTACCATTGTCCAGCTGATCCAATGACTTCAGGACTTTGAGTCGCTAACCCACAATAGCTGAATGCCCATTCACATCAGTGACTCAAGTACTGAAGCCAGTGACAACCAGACAACTAGCATTGCCAGATCAATTATCATTGTTAATTGTCAAATATAGTAATCGCAACCCCCATATTTCACTCAGTCCAGGTTTCCTTTAATATGAAATTGCAGGTGAATGGATTTCATAGCCAAAGCTAATGGTTTGTCAAGATGTCCGTATGATAATAATTGATAAAGATACATACAGTCTTCAATGTGAAGATCTTTGCACCCTATCCCCAACTGGTAGGGAAAAGAAGTATCATGATCAAAGGATAAAACCCCTAGGACTGTAAACTCAAGATCTAGCGGACCAGTGGAAACAGCTAAATAGGTGTACCCAAGCACCAGTCCTTGCAGATGCAGGAGCAGTGTGACTGCATGCAAATGGTGGTGTGTTAGAGTCGCAGAATCTAAGGAGCCACCCGGTCATCACCAGAACCACTGGAAGTGTGGATATTGTGCTGCGTGACAGCCCTCAGGTTGCGGCTCACTAACACACCTGTGCGGGCATAATTACATAGTTAGTATGGCTGAAAAAAGACAAAAGTCCATTCAGTTAAACTATTAAGAAAAAAAAGTTATAATCCTATACCAGGGGTAGGCAACCTGCGGCTCTCTAGCAATTGTGGAACTACATTTCCCATGAGGCATTGCAACATTACAAAACTGACAGTTACAGCTATGACTTGCAGAGGCATGATGGAACTTGTAGTCCTGCAACAGCTGGAGAACCACAGGTTGCCTACCCCTGTCCTATACCCACAGTTGATCCAGAGGAAGGAAAAAAAAAAACCCAGCAAAGCATGATCCAATTTGCTCCTGCAGGAAAAAAATTCCTTCCTGATCCCTCGAGAGGCAATCGGATATTCCCTGGATCAACTTTACCTATAAATGTTAGTATCCAGTTATATTCTGTGTATCTAAGAAAAAATCCAGGCCTTTTTTAAAGCAATCCACTAAGCTGGTCAGAACCAGCTCTTGAGGGAGTCTATTCCACATTTTCACAGCTCTCACTGTGAAGAAACCTTTCCGTATTTGGAGATTAATTCTCCAAGATGTAAAGAGTACCCCCTTGTCCTCTGTGATGACCTCAGGGTGAATAGTTCTACACCGAATTCACTATATGAACCACTGATATATTTATACATGTTGATCATATCCCCCCTTAATCTCCTCTTCTCAATAG